ACACACTGTAAAAGGACTCTGCCTTATTTCTATAAGGAAATACAAAGTTATCTGAGGTCCAAGACTGACATTTAAGATTCTTTTCTCTTAGGAAAGAGTGAAACACAACAGTGGAGGTGGGTCTATACAATAAATATTCATTTTTATTACTGTTTACGCCTTAATGTCTAGCTCAATCCTTCCCCAAATTTTAAGGTTAAACTCTTTATGAGAAGAGATAAGGTGATCAAGAAAAAATTTTAAGAATTTAAAATAGTTACTGCTTAAAGAAAATTAAAATACAGATATCATATTAATGCTAAATTTATTTGTAAATTTGAGTTCAAAAAAGACAAAGCAATAGGACATATACTCAGATTTATTCAAAACTTAGTTTCTAGAGAAATTAATTTCTTGGTTGACGAAATTTTATTTTAAATTCCTCAATCTTTTAAGTAATCATTTTAAGATGTATATTATGTATTTCTCTGTAATGTACATTGAACAATTGAACTATTCAATTGTATAATATATAAATTATATGCCAATAAAACTGTTGTGGAAAAAAGTCACTGAAACAATTTACATAAAGTTTATATTAAGCCATTATGTCTATGAATATTATATAAAGTTGAGTCATTACACATTTTGGTTTTTTGTCACTACCTGTCATTTATCAGAGAAGAATGTTTAATGAAAATTGGTTCATTTGACAACATATCATTCCCTCTCACTCACATACAACACTCATACCACATGCGCAGTTTCCTAGACCCAGAGCATGGTTGAATAAAATGATAAATTTGTCATCACTATTAGGGCTTATATCATTCAAAAATAAGCTTAAATAAAGTTATAGGCAACTTGTTTTCAATGAGTGAATGAATATTTTTTAAAATCATTTTATTGGGGCTCATACAACTCTTATCACAATCCATACATACATCGATTGTGTAAAGCACACTTATACATTTGTTGCCCTCATCATTCTCAAAAATTCGCTTTCCTCTTGGGTTCCTGGAAT